GCACCCTCTCCGAGCACTGCAGCACCCAAAGCCCTGCCCCCCCAGCACCGCGCCGCCCGAAGCCACCGCTCCGAGCACCACGCTGCCCGAAGCCCCCGCCCCCACTCCAAGCGCCGCACCGCCGAATCCAAAAAATAAAATAAAAATAAAAATAAAAAATTTTAAAAAATCAAGCGACGTCCTGCCCCAAGGTCCCGCCCCAAGCACGTGCTTGGTCGGCTGGTGCCTGGAGCCGGCCCTGGTACCAGAATGTTCTAGTGCCATCCTGGCACATGTTCATCCTATTAGGACTTGATACCTTTTAGATATGTGTATACATGCAATTAGCAACCGCCTTCTTGCCAACTTCTGTGAGCAGAGCCTGCCTCTGGCTCAGAGCTTAACTTTGCTTTATGTTAGCAAAGTCTTGACCATTACTTTAGTTCGGGCCTTATTCCGGGCCTCTGATACAAGGCTTGTTTCAGGGCCTCATCTTACTACAGTGGTGATGTTGTATATCCCTCTACAGGGATTATCTTGGTGAATATTATAGGAAACAGACTGCACAGCAACTGGTGAAATGGTTTGAAATATTACACCTAAATTTTGAAGTGACTAGTGAAGGTAGGTGTCATTTTTTGGGTGATCTGGAGAAAGGGGTAAACAGTGAGGTGGCAAAGTTTGCAGATAATACTAAACTGCTCAAGATAGTTAAGACCAAAGCAGACTGTGAAGAACTTCTAAAAGATCTCACAAAACTAAGTGATTGGGCAACAAAATGGCAAATGAAATTTAATGTGGATAAATGTAAAGTAATGCACGTTGGAAAAAATAACCCCAACTATACATACAATAAGATGGGGGCTAATTTAGCTACAACTAATCAGGAAAGAGATCTTGGAGTCATCTTTGATAGTTCTCTGAAGACATCCTCGCAGTGTACAGCGGCAGACAAAAAAGCAAACAGGATGTTAGGAATCATTAAAAAAGGGATAGAGAATAAGACAGAGAATATCTTATTGCCCTTATATAAATCCATTGTACACCTACATCTTGAATACTGCTTACAGATATGGTCTCCTCATCTCAAAAGAGATATACTGGCATTAGAAAAAGTTCAGAAAAAGGCAACTAAAATGATTAGGGGATTGGAATGGGTCCCTATGAGGAGAGATTAAAGAGGTTAGGACTTTTCAGCTTGGAAAAGAGGAGACTAAGGGTCGATATGATAGATGTATATAAAATCATGAGTGGTGTAGAGAAAGTGAATAAGGAAAAGTTATTTACTTGTTCCCATAATATAAAAACTCAGGGCCACCAAATGAAGTTAATGGGCAGCAGGTTTAAAACAAATAAAAAGAAGTTCTTCACACAGCGCACAGTCAACCTGTGGAACTCCTTGCCTGAGGAGGTTGTGAAGGCTAGGACTATAACAGGGTTTAAAAGAGAACTAGATAAATTCATGGAGGTTAAGTCCATTAATGGCTATTAGCCAGGATGGGTAAGGAATGGTGTCCCTAGCCTCTGTTTGACAGAGGGTGGAGATGGATGGCAGGAGAGAGATCACTTGATCATTACCTGTTAGGTTCACTCTCTGTGGGGCACCAGACATGGGCCACTGTTGGTAGACAGGATACTGGGCTAGATGGACCTTTGGTTTGACACAGTATGGACGTTCTTATTGGTGCCACACCAGAGAAAACCGAAAGAGCACAATTTTCAGAAAGCCCTTTGCTCCTGCCCTCTGAAACTCAGATCCCTTAAAATTGTCTCAAATTAGGCACCCATAATAACTAGCCACTTTTGAAAACTTAGACCCCCCCCCCCTCCCATTTTATTCAGGAAGGACATTTTATTGTTTGCTCTTCCTCTAAAAGTGCAGTTTTCTCACAGCAGGAATGTTATAAAAAGAAGCTGAGCAAGATGAATACCATAAACCAGCATTTGCTAACATTCTTTATAATGAAAAAGGTCTCCTTGCTTCAAACTTGTTGAGGACTTTTAGTCAGTGTTTGTGAAGATTCAACAAAGGGGATTTGTTTACATGAATGTTTTGGAAAGGCTTTTCACTATGGACTAAATTATCCCTGTGCAGAGGAGCCCAGCACAAACCTATGCAACATTTATGTCCCACTTAAACCTTCCTGATAAGGGTAAAAATGTATGGAAGTGACATATAAGCTTTGTACTGACTCCTCTGAGGTGAAGTAAATGTTACTTTGTATGAACTCACATTCACATGACATGAAGGCATTCCTCATACACATTATTTGTCATTTATTAGAAGTATAATAAATGAACAACGCACCATGCAGTGTCGGTGGAACCCTTTGCCAGAGGATGTTGTAAAGGCCCAAACTATAATAGGGTTAAAAAAAGAACAAGATAGGTTTATCTTCCATTAATTTATCTATGGCTATTAGCCAGGATGGGCAGGGATGGTGTCCTTGTCCATTCCCAGCTTCTGGCAAACAGAGGCTGGGAATGGACAATGGGATGGATTACTTGATGATTACCTGTTCTGTTCATTCCCTCTGAAGCACCTGGCATTGGCCACTGGCGGCCGACAGGATACTGGGCTATATGGACCTTTAGTCTGACCCAGTATGGCTAGTCTTATGTTCTTATAAATTATGTAGTACCAAAATGTGTTATTGTTAGTCTCATTTAAAATCAAGGAGCAAAAGTAATACCATGTAACTTATGTGACCAGTCGCACACCACAAGTAATCAAAGCATATAGTTAACAAACAATCCATAGATTGAAAACTGCTTGTCGAAACAATTCAATGAGCATAAAATAAATTGGCTCACAGGAAAAATGGCTAGATGTATCAGATCATTTATCTGCAACAAATAATTCAAACCTGAACTTGATGAAAAATGCTACATAACAGTTAAGTATTATAACCAAAATACAGTATTCTTCAGTAAAGATCCAAAACACTTGCATGTATAGTACAGTTACTACCTGCTTATGGGATATTACTATAGGGCCAAAGCCTTACTCTACAAACATACATTGAATTCAATGGTGGTGAGTAAAAAAATTGAGTAGAAATTGAGTAAAAACCTCAGAATTTGGCCCCTAAAGTATTGTATTACTTTTAGTGGGGTGTTATGGCAGGTTCCTCTGAATAGGCTTTACTCATACCAAATTAAGAGAGGCATGAAGGACAGCCACTGAACCATCATCATTCATTAGTTCTGTATCCTCTTCACATCTCAAAGAATTCCGTCTAGAAGCCTGGTTCTCTCTCCATAGTCCCACATGTTTTTGTGCACAGGTTTTATGGCTGCATGCTGCAAGGATCAGTTCCATCTGTTTGTTCTGTTTTTTTCCCCTAGGTACTCTCCTTTTGGCATTGCCTGTCTTATTTGCGGGAAAATCATTGCAATTAAGGACTTAGAAGTGGTTGCTAGGCAACTTGGAATGTACATGGTAACCGTGATCCTGGGCCTTCTCATCCACGGTGGGATCTTCTTGCCTTCACTGTACTTTGTGATAACAAGGAAAAGCCCCTTCACATTCCTTGCTGGCATTTTCCAGGCATGGATCACAGCTCTAGGCACAGCTTCCAGGTACTCCATGTGAACTGCCATCTTATTTATATTTTAGCAGCTCATTAGCTGCCATTTAGACATTATGCAGCTGCTGTTCTGACCTTCACTAGAAAGTTATTTTATCATTAATACCAATCAGTAAACAGCTTTTGCTCACCTTAATCTATTTGGGGAAAAAAAAGAGAGGCAGTATGGATAGTAGCCATAGAGGCTGGATAGTGGCCCCAGGCTGAATGTCAGGGGACCTGACTTCTGTTCCCTGTGCTGCCACTGACTCACTGTGTAAACTTGTGCAAAAGCATCTGTGCTTTAGTTTCCTGTCCTGTAAAATAGGGATAATGCTACTTACCCACCTTGGTTAAGCACTTTAAGGTCTGTGGATGAAGTGCTATAAGTGTTATTAGTTATTAAAAGGAAATGTACAGAGCCATAATTGTCACAAGGCTCCATATGTGTCACAGTTCTGGGGTTAACTGCACCTCTGCCCTCCTCTGTCATCTACTCAAGCATGCCCCTTTACATTGCAGGCCTCCAGTAAAACCTCTCTGTGAGTGGATACCCACATCCCTCTCTCTCCAGACCAAGGATTTAGGCTTGCTGTTCCCCGGCAATTCACAGTGACTATCCCAGCAGCCTGATCTCAGTCCAGCACCTGCAGTTCCACTCTCTCCCAGAGGCTATGACAGTGTTTACTAGTGACAAGCCAGCTTTCACGAAGTACAGTACATTTATTTTAGGGCAAAAGTATTAGAGAAATATATCCCGAAACAATAAACACTCTTAATGCGTGCTAATCTTACCAGATGTTACCCATCTTCCATATGGAGACCCTGGCAAGTTCCACTCCTTCCCACTCTTCCAGCAGGGCTTTTTCCTCTTGGTTATAGTTTCATGGAAGTTTGAGGATCAAAGTGAGGCTTCCCAAGCCAGTTCAGGCTGACCCTTTATACTAAAAGCCTTTACTTGTCTGCCACACCATTTGAACTGGGTCTGATCCAGTATGTGTAATTTGCCCCAGAGGTGGTACTTCTCTGAGGCTGTTTATCTGTCCCAGGATCTGCAGTAGTTACCCCCACTGATTTTAGTTCCCTGGGGTGGCACAGTAACCCTCCTCCTTGCAGCTAGCATACAATCCCCATCTCATGAAGGTAAGTATAGACACACATTGAGTAAAAAAAAAAAATGAGGAGTCCTTGTGGCACCTTAGAGACTAACAAATTTATTTAGGAATAAGCTTTTGTGGGCTAGAATCCACTTCATCAGATGTATGAAGTAAAAAAATACAGGAGCAGGTATAAATACATGAAAGGATAGGGGTGCTTTACCAAGTGTTAGGTCAGTCTAATGAGATAAATCAATTATCAGCAGGATACCACTGAAACCTGTCACATTTATGAGTAATCCCTTTGCCCATAGCTCATGGCACAGCTCAATATAGAAATATTTTTAGATTTTCCATGTTTTCAAGGTCTCACATTTGTCACAATATTCACATTGCTGCTTCTAAATGAAGTTGCAATGCTAGGTTTCAAGTAGGGAACACAAATAAATAGGATATCTCCATTAATTTATTTTAGTTTATCTCCTAGAACTGGAAGGGACCTTGAAAGGTCATCATGTCCAGCCCCCTGCCTTCACTAGCAGGACCAAGTACTGATTTTGCCCCAGATCCCTAAGTGACCCCCTCAAGGATTGAACTCAACCCTGGGTTTAGCAGTCCCAGGGCAGTCAATCTGGCACCATTCATGAGCACAAAATTCACCTATGCTAAAAAAAAGTAAAATTAAGGGGGAAAGTCTTGCTTGTCCTCCAAATTACAAAGCAACACCTCAGTGTAAATGACAAAACCAGGGGGAGTCAGTTACAGCAGCCCTAGGTAGGCTACTGCCATGTACACACTTACATCTCCGCTCCAAGTTGTGAAATGTGACTCATGTAGGAGAAAATGAAGTTTATTTAATTGAACGTCAATGGTGTGTCCAAACTGTCTTTTCCCTTTCTAAGGAATAAGATATGGAAATCCCTTTGTCATGGAGGCCAGCACAGCATAGCAGAGTGAAAAAAACAGGAAGTACTCCTCTGTTAGTGACCCACAATTCAGCCACCTCCATACATGCAAACAGCCATATACATGGACTACTAAGGCAGCTCATTGGGGAATATGCCTTACATTTCCCATCTTGAAGTGAGATTATTCTGTTTTTTTTAATATATACTTCGTGTGACATCACAGAATGATTATTTGATTGGCTGTGGTAAAAACTAAACCACACGGGTGCCAGAATAGAGTTGGCTGAAACTATTTACCAGGTTCATGTAGTTCTTTTTAAAAAACCCTCAGTGAGTGAAAAAAGCAATCTAGCATTATAAGCACAGGACCAGGAGCCAGGAATACGAGCACCAAATTGGCCTCTGACACTTACTTCATCTGTGATATTGAAGAAGTCACTTAATCTTTCGGTATCTCATTTTACCCTTCTGTAAAATGGGGATATCTATATTGTACTACTTCATAGAGTCACTATGGGGACTAAGTAATGAATATGTTAAATACTGAAGTTGCAAGGTAGTATATGCAATATGTAGTAAGGATTTATTGTAGTATATTTTAGTGAGTTCAGCCCTTTGTTCTGCTCACTATAAGCAATAGTAAACATTCTTGTCAGACCAAAACTAGTATTGATACAGTAATCAGGATGACCTTTGAGAAATTTCCATTAGCTCACATGGGGGTATGCAAACAAGTTGGTACAGACATGCTTCAGCTATTAACAAATTTCCCCAGAACAGTGTTCACTTTTCAGAAGTGACTCGTCAGGCTATAACCAAGTTAATTTAGTGGAGGGTTGGACCAGAGTCAAGCACTGAAAATGAAAAGCATCAATATATGTAATTGAATTGGATTCATTAATTTAGAGGCAGATCCTTCAGCTGAGCTACGCACACTTGGACAGCAGAGGAAGGAATCTCAACCAGGGCTGCCCAGAGGATTCAGGGGGCGGGGGGCAAAGCAATTTTGGGTGGCCCTTCCATAAAAAAGTTGCAATACTATAGAATACTATATTCTCGTGGGGGCCCCTGTGGGGCCCGGAGCAAATTGCCCAACTTGCTCCCCTCCCGGGCGGCCCTGATCTCAACTCACTGGACAGAAAGAGTTGTTATGGAACAACTCTGCTGAGGGTACTCAGGCCCAACGGGTGAAACAGCCTGCTCTGCCCCCTAGAGAGGGGTGGCAGGGAAGATCCACACAAGCACCTGTTCCTCAGCGCTAGCCTTGCTGTCCCCCAAGCTCTGTGAATGAGGAGTGCACAGGCCACTGGTTCCTCCACAACTGAGCATCTCCACAACTGAAGAGATGCAGGATTTGACCCTTCAATATTGATTTGAATTCCCATCGCAAAAAGCCATTTGGCTCTGTGCTTTGAAAAAAATCCAAGATTAATTCATACATTGGATAGAGAGCCCAACTAGCCCCTATGTGACCCAGAATCTCACCTCCAGTTAATACTGAAGTGTGTCTTGATTGAAAAAAGGTTTATGGACACAGGAGGATTAAAAACAACAAAATTTGGCAGAGGAAGGGAAAATATGTAATGTTGCCAGCTTTCAAGCAATGATGTACTAAAAATCACGTATTAAGCACTGTGCTCGTCTTTCCCATAGAATTCAGTAACTTCTATTTGGTTGCATGTTCTTTAATGCACATATTGGACTTGAGAAAGGAAATGGTCATTGCAAAATTGCAATAGTTCTGATCTTGTTCCATCGTGCAAGAATATTGTGTACCACGTAACCCTGTCTTTCTTCATGTCTTTGCTCATACTTTTAGTGCTGGTACATTACCTGTCACTTTCCGTTGTCTTGAAGAAAACTTGGGCATTGATAAGCGTGTAACAAGATTTGTCCTGCCTGTTGGAGCAACAATAAACATGGATGGGACGGCCCTTTATGAAGCAGTTGCTGCCATCTTCATAGCACAGATGAATGGAATTGTGTTGGATGGTGGGCAGATAGTCACTGTGAGGTGGGTTCTATACGTTTCTGCAAACAACTGGGTCTTTGATTTAGAAGGTTGTATAGCATGAAGATGCAATGATGGTTTCTGAATGCCTATGTATTCTTACAGTGTGAAATGTGTGGACTTTGGCTTCTCACAGTGGTATTGAGTGGATAAGACTGTTAAATAGATATGGCCCTGATTCATAGGTTCTAAGACCAGAACGAACCATTGTGATCCTCTAATCTGACCTCCTCTATTAACACAGGGCGTAAGACTTCCTAAAGAGATTCTCCACTGCCTTGCAATGTGTGTTGTCATCATTTGTGACTTCTGGGTTAGTAACATTTTAAACTCACTTTATACAGGAGTAAATGACAACACGAGGTGCAAAGCAATGGTCTTGTCTGTCCAACATAATAAACTTAGTTAAATGCAGAGGGATGCTCCAAGCTAGGTACAGGATATTAATTATTTAGAAAGTCCATACGAGTACTAATAGAAAAAAGACTTTCCCATAAAAAGTATCCATATAGTTAGCTTGGGTTATTCCCTCTTATTTTGCCAATTAATAATAAAAATAATGGCCTTGGTGTAAAGCATTTTCAGGCTGTGAGGGGGCAATGGTGACAAAGAGATATGGCTGCAGCGTAACATATTCTGGCATAGTCCAGATGAGCAGAGGGATTTCTTGGGAGCTGCTTTCTGCCAGTAGACATGAGAGCAGCCCTCGTGCACTTTTAAACTTGTCCTAGGACCAGTTTGGTTCTAGGCAGCCCCTTTGATTAGGGGAAGGAGGGGCATATATGCCTCCCCATCCCACATTTACAATGAGTGTTGCTGTGGCACAAATACTGATATAGCCCTTGAATTCCTAGAGTCAAGGGTGGGAGTCACAGGGTATTCTACTCACCACTTGACTGCTCCTCCTCCAGGCTGTTCTGGGGATTAGTTCTGCCCAGCTAACACCCCTTTCCAGCAGTTGCAGTCCCTCACTCTGTCTGCAGCCCTTCTCTTGCTCCAGGAGCTGCTGCTTCCTCTTCGTGATTCAGCCCCCTGGACAGAACAGTAAGTGGTTTTCCCTTCTGGGGTATGATACTTTCCAGGTATCTCTGGACAAACAGCATTCAACAGTCCTCACATCCACTACCCTACCCCTGTCACTCCTGCTGTGACTCAAACAGTCTGCTAGTTCATTATCCCTGGCAATACCCTCTGGCAGGCTTAGTTGGTAAGGGACCTCAGGCCCGCTCTCTACTCTAGGTTCCAGTCCAGGTCCCTCTACCAAAGGGTCAAGGTCTACAGCTTCCCTAACCTTACTGCTCTTGCCCTGGGACTACTTCCTACTCTACTTCCACTCATACTAGTCAAGTCCCTCTCTTCTAGGTCTTAGGGATGCCTTATCCTCCTTTCCTCAGGAGCATGACTACCACTCTTCCCCCTGGAGCCTCCTTTTTATTGCCAGTCTCTTGGCTTTATGTAAGCCCCATCTGTTCCCTCACAGGTGACCTAGATTCCAATTAGTGCTTCCTCCTAGCCTAAATATCTCTCCTGTCTGCCACTTAATTGATTAATTGGTCTGCCTGGCCTAATTCAGTCCTCTCAGGGCAGGTGTGGGGAGTACACCCCATCACACAGGGATATCAACCATTTCAAGCAGAACTACATCAATGCTCACTAAAGAACATTTAGTGTGTTCCAGCAGGGTCCACCCAGGGGAGTTAGAGAGGAAAACACTTGTGTGCTCTACAGCTCATATCCCCATAGTCCAGACTCTGGCACAGCAATCCAGCAAAACATCATGTGCAGGTGTACAACCACTTGGTCATGTTCAAGAGGCACTAGAGAGGTACAAGTCTTGGAGAAGTTGGAACATGTCTGGGTGAGGGGAAGTGATACTGAAGACAGCTTACCCGCTAGCTGGAGAATAGGTACCCCAACAAGGCAAGTCAAAAAAAAAAGGAAACTTCAGATAAATCTAAGGGTGAATGTAAGTAACTACCAACATGGTTTATATTTATCTATTTCTATTTTAATAACTTTTGCTGACCCAAGTGGCAGGGTAGTGGATCAGTCCTGCCACATGAAATGAGTTTGACACCCCTGAGCTATCACTACAGCGAAATAGACTGTAGACTGTGGATCTTAAATTCTATCTCAGTGTGCTCACATTAACCCAGAGTACAGTAGATATATTCCTATTATGTCAAATCATTACATATAGAACTGTGTTGAAATATCTGGAAGCTCAAAGGAATACACACATTTAAGTTAGGTAAGTATAATTTTGGCATGTTTTACTGTAATCCAATTTAAAGTCATATTCGATCCTGTTACTAAAAAAAGAGAATGGCAAAGTTATGACTGTTGCTGCTGAATTCATTTACAATGGAAAATATGACAAATGCACTAAGCCTGACATTTTGAATCATAATAATTCAAACCACACATGAATGCTGCCAAGTTTGCCTTTTCCTTGTGTCTCTAATCCACCCACCTTCCTCTTAGCTAACCCCTTTTCAGGATAAAGAAGTGCCTGCACTGGAATTTCTAGTGTTGTGTTTCTTGCCCAACTATATTAGCAACATATTTTCCAGTTCTTTGCCTCCTGCAGGTTACTTACAATAGTAAAAAATGGTTTTAAAGGGGTTAGGCTGCTTCTCTCAAAGGCAGATGCTGTAAAGTTGGACCTTGAATAATACAATTTAGTTTTTAGAAATAAGAACATTCTTTTTAAAGACGAGTTGCTAATAAAATATTTGCTGCCAGAGGAAGTTCTGGGACTTGTTGACCACAAGTCTTGGTGAACTTGAACCTAAATTATTCTTCCTGCTCCTCCTGTAAAGAATTGACTCACTGTGCCTGATTCAGATCTCGCACCATTTGTACACTAGTTTAGTTGACCCCCTGAACTTCCCAGAATTATTCTTGATGTATGCTGGTGTGAGAGCTGAATGGGGTTGACAGAGAGCAGTGCTCCTGTGGATTAGCCATGGGAAAACTGCCAACTCTTTCCCCAGTGCAATATGATGGGATGATATTTGTGTTGTGACACTCATACTATGTTCTGATATGGCAATGCAAATCGATAGAAGATTGTTCTCTTATGTCTGCCAAACCCAACTAGCAATGCTGGGATTAGGTTCAAATGATCCAAATGCAGGCTCAGGCAGGCTTAGTAATTCTCCTTTTTGCACCTCAGATCTGCCCTTTTGGGCATTTCTGCTTTAATCCAACAACCAAACCTGGCAAAGCAACCTACCCCTTGGAGATGATAATCCTGGAAATGGTAGGGGCTAAAATGCTGTGTCCTCACATTAGCACCATGGCTGTAGCCAAGTATTTACCCCATGGAGGCACTTATTCCCCCACCTCTTTATTGGAAGCACTTGGTGAACCCACAGCATCTCAAATTTAGTAGTAAATTGCATGATCTATTTCAGAAAGACAGAGACTTCTTTTATATTTTTTATTGTTCCTTGGCTCCCTTGCTGCCTAATTTATTTTCCATTCTACAAAGGAATGCCTAGTGTCTCTGAAGCTGTAGCCTGGTTTTTCAGACTTCCAGCATTTGTAGCACAGACATTCACTGTACTCGACTTTCACATTCTACTAATTGGAGCAAAAGCAGGCATGGCTCTGGATTCGCAAAACCTAATTGGCTGAATGTTGGTTTTGCAAACCAGAACAAGAGTGCTTTGTATCTGGGCTTGGTTTATCACAAGCTCCCAGAGTTTGGAGCATGTGACTGTAGGATACATGGTCTTTCACCATTTCCTTATTGATAACAACCAATTCCCCCACACTATTATCTCACAAAACGAACTGCAAGCTCCATAAATTAACATTAATCAACCGCACTGGAAATTCAACCTGCAGCCCCTACACTGCAGAAATTCCAGTTGGAATGTGGAGGTGGATCTGGGCAAAAGCCCTGGATTCAAACATCTCTGAAATGTAGGGACGGAGGTTGAAAATCAAAACCAGGCTAACAGTCTGAATGTTGCAAATTGCCTTTGTCTTTATAATAGTCTGAACAAACCCCCCCGATCTGAACACTCTTAAATTGGAGTTGGTGGAGGAACAGAATCCTCAAAGTTGTGGCTTGATCCCATCTCTAGTAGTTATGCAGCCCTGTATTTTCTGGGACATGCCAGGTGAAAACCAACTTTTTGTTTTGATCAAGTGAGTACACATTGAAAGTCACACCCTCCTTGTTGTTACCCAATACTGTGTTTATTCTTACAGTCTGACAGCCACCTTAGCAAGTGTTGGAGCTGCCAGTATACCCAGTGCAGGACTGGTCACCATGCTTCTCATCCTCACTGCGGTGGGTCTCCCTACTCAGGACATCAGTCTGCTTGTTGCTGTTGACTGGCTCTTGTAAGTAATAGTGACTCCATGATTCAATCCGAAGAAGTCATCATGTACTTACAGCAAGTAACAAATAATGATTTACTCTTCTCTGCTACCTTAGAATCATGGATCTCAAAGCACGCTAAAATATATCTATTGTACAGATGGAGCAACTGAGGCACAGATAGGTGAAGTGGTTTGACATGGGCCACTTAAGTCAGAATTAGAACAAGAAATAGAACCTAAAGGGAAGATCTAAACTATGGCTGGTGTAATTTGCAATAGTTACACTGAAATCAGTTGACTTAAACAATTGACTTCAATGGAGCTATGACAATTTATACCAGCTGAGGATCCTGTCCCTAAGAGGCTTGACTCACAGACTCCTGCCAAAGCCACTACATTCCCTAGAGATATGTAACCTTCCAAGCTGTTGTTCCAAACTATAAACATAGTTCACTAACAGTTATTCACCTCTGCTTTTAGGTTTCCTTATTATAATTCTTGTCTAAATGGAGGGATGGGTACTGAGTCTGTGGATTACACTGCAGTGATGCTTGTCTAGAACAGAAGGATTTTATATGGCATTGGGCATTTGTATTAATATTGTCATCTCCAGTTACATTGGCTAGAATGAACATGCTTCAGGCTACAGCCAACTGCTTGAGGTTAGGAAGAAATCCCCCCACCCTACCCTCATGATAATAGTTGTCTGTTATGTTATGGGAGTCTTACACCTTTCTCTGAAGCATCAGGTACTTATGGAGATAGAGCTACAGATGTGATGGACCACTGATCCATCCAGCATAGCAAGCTCTACATTCCTAATAGAATCCGGTTTCTTCATAGAGTTCTTCTCAACAAAGACACTATAGGATGAATGTCCTAAAGGAGCCCACAAACCAAACGAAATGAGACAGCAACCTGGAAAATGGAAGGATATTCCCAGTCAGTTTTTACCAGGAGATTCTCTAAAACATGACCTGACCTACCTTTCAACCTCAGGGTCTTGGGATTAGAGTCCTTTCAGTGCCATTGCAGATCCTCAGCCAAGAGACATCCACCTGTTCCACCTTTCTCCAGGAGCTTTCTGTCCCTCACCTCTGGGATTTAGAAGCCCCTTTAATAATTATAACAACAATAATACACCCAGAGTCAGATCCTCAGGTGCATTTTAGATTGGAGGCATAGACATCTTTGTGCCACCTTGCCATAGAGTTCCCAGGGACCAGTTCAGCCCATCAACACAACTTGGAGCAATCCCAGGGCTCCTCTAAGTTGCACTGATTGGTGACAGGCCCCTAGAAACCTTTACATCAGCCTGAATTGCTGGAGCACAGTGCATTCCGGTCACTGCCTTTCCTGCTTCAGCACATCACTGCACAGCCTAAGCTATAAGGTTGCAGGTAGTAATGCTGGGAAGAAGTGTAACACTAGCTATGCCAGCTTTATACCACTTACTGATTTCCCCATGCCAGGGGAATCCCCAGCAGCCCAATTGATGCATCTTCAATGCGTTGTGCCATTGGAGTTATACAGAAGGGGCTTAGCAGAGCTGAGTATTTGGCTTTGAAACTTTAGTGACATACTTCCCTTGTAAGTATTCTCCCACTTGCTTCTTATCAAACTGTCTGTACTGAGCTATCTTGATTATCACTTCAAAAGTTTTTTTTTCTCCTACTTAATTGGCCTCTCAGAGTTGGTAAGACAACTCCCACCTGTTCATGCTCTCTGTATGTGTGTATATATATATCCTCAATATATGTTTCACTCTATATGCATCCGAAGAAGTGGGTTGTAGCCCACGAAAGCTTATGCTCTAATAAATTTGTTAATCTCTAAGGTGCCACAAGTACTCCTGTTCTTTTTAGTGACATAATGTGCTATTTATCCCTTGTTGCCATTGGCCCTTGTTGCCTTATTGGGAAGCATTCAAGGTCTCAATCCACCCCATAACATAGCCCCTGTAGTCATCCTTCTGTGATATATCTGCTAGATCTGAGATGAGGGGTTTTCTTCAGTTACAGCCAGTGTATCACCCTGTCTGTGAGACACCAGCGTCTAAGAACAGTTCCCAGCTCCAGTCCCATCTATAGGGGAAAACGAGGCAGGAATTTACAGCTGGGGCAAGCAAAGGGAAAAGATGATTTTAAAAAATATATTGTAATTGTGTGAAATCATAGCTCAGAACGGGGAACCTGGGTGGGGCTCAGCAGGCAGCTGGCGAAGGGAAAAGAGGATATTGTGTGGTTTTAAATACATTGGTGAAGTCATGGCTCAAAACAGGAAAGTGGCGTAGGAATTTGCAGCTAGGAGCGGAAGGACAAGAGGAGGTCCATGCTCAGGTTTTAAATATATGTTTTCATTGGAACTCAAAATAGGCCAAGTAGATAGGGTTCTGCTGCTGGAAGGAGGATGTATAAATGCAGCATGTGGTTTGTTTGGGTTTTTTAGGGAAATGTCATTTTAAGCCCTGCCTACACTAGTGAACCTTAGAGCCGTAATTCATGAGAAGTGCTGCTCCACTGGCAGGAGCTACAGTGTGGGCAGGGCCCAGACAATTTTACCTTTCTGTCATCTAGCCCTGCTCAGAGGCGTGTTAAACAACATGGGAGTAGAAATGCCTGTGCCATGGAGCTGCACCGGTGGTGAATCCCAATTATGAAGCTTGCTAGCATAGACAAGGCCAGAGTCAGAGAAGGAACATCTGAAAGGAATGTTACAGGATTGTGTCCAAGTGAAAGACAAGCCTGGAACCTTCTCCCAGACTGGGAGGGCTTTGGGGTTCTTTGGCCTGACAAGCAACAGTGCAATCCATAGTGATAAAATTCAGAGCCTTAGCGTCAAGGCTTCAGAGAAAGAAAATGAGGAAAAAAAGGAGGCAAGTTCTGTATATCTTGTCATGCTGATAAAGCTAATGAAACATTTGGAGCCTGATTCTGACCTCACTTATGCTAGTTTTACACCAGTGTAAGTCCATTAACTTCTGTGTGAGATCAGAATCAGGCTATCGATTAATTGACTGAGTGATAGATATAAATACAGGAGATGGATACGGGCAGGAGCGGCGCCAGGGTTTTTGGCGCCCTAAGCAGGGGTCCTTCCGCGCTCCCGGTCGTCGTCGTCAATGCTGCGGCGGGGAGGTCCTTCCGCGCTCCCGGTCTTTGGGGCACTTCGGCGGCGGGTCCCGGAGCGAGTGAAGGACCCGCCGCAGAATTGCCGCTGAAGACCCGGAGCGCGGAAGGACCCCCCGCCGCCGAATTGCCACCGAGGGCGGCAAAATGCCGCCCCCCCAAATCCTGGCACCCTAGGCAACTGTCTAGGTCGCCTAAATGGAAGCGCCGACCCTGGATACAGGTACAGACAATCATAATGAACCTGATATCTGGAACTTGTCTGGATGCAAATCAATACAGTAGATATCTTTTAAGAATAGCAATTGTCCTGGCATTTCAGGTCAAATTAGAAAAATTCTTGCAAAAATGGCTCATCTTCTGAGCTTTTTACTGTTCAAGATGAAAGAAAAGATCACAAAATCACCTGATTTGTCAGGATTACGCTGAAATCTCACAGAAAACAGCTTTCACAATTTCAGAACACTCAAACCCAACTGAGTTTTGACTGGGTCTCAGCCTTGACTCTCCCTCCCCTCAAATTGAGGCTTAAGGGGGTTCTGGATCTAGATCAGATCATATCCTCATTGGTCCCTCTCTTGTACAGAGAGATTGGGTAGAAAGACAGACACACAGAACTTTGTCAGGCAAATGTTCCAAGCTTTCACAACTCTCGCAGTTTCTTAATTTAAAACTAAACAAATCACAGCGGTGACATTTAATAGGAGAGCATTATGTGCCAACAGCTGGAATGAATCCAGCATCATTAGCTGTAGCCAAGAGCTGGCTACTTTCCAACTATGAGACTAACAAGCATAGCAAATGCCATACCATGGGCCCTTGGTACAGAAGTACCAAGCATTGGGAAAACTGCTCAGATCCAACATCTAAAGCAGACATCTACATTCAGAAACACAACTGATAAAGTTTGCATGATATCTGAATCTTTTCTGTAGCTTGTGTAACATGGGTCTAAATTCAAAACGCTTAGGCCCACATTCCTTGGGAAAGTTGATATTTGAATGTTATTGCTTAGGTCTGTTTCTAGAATGTAAACTCAAGTAGAATGAAATATGAAAAATAGAAGTAGCTATTCCCCTAAGTGCCAACAAGATGAAGGCAAGTTAAGCATGTCACTTTTTGAGTCAGTGGGAACCTTGAGGGATTTATTTAATCTCCTTTTTATGATCCTTTCTAGGATCCAGAGTACCTAGTCAAGAAAGCTCCTTGGAATGGACAATGTTTTTTTACATGTTAGTATTAATAATAATACCTAACAACACTTTGTGGACCTGCTTCTCCTCTCACTCATATAGTGGTATAACTTTATTGCCTCCAATGCTGCTAACTTTGATTTATACTGGAGTGAGTAGAATACAGAGTCAGACCCTATGAGCCTGATCCAACTCTCATAAAAGTCAATGGGAGCTGGATCTGATCCTACAAGAGAAATAACATAAGTATGAGAAATCCTTTCTTCTTCAGATGAAAGAATCTTTTTGTCTGATCACTGCTGACCCAGCCATCAGTCATGTATTGATTCTTCTGATCTTGACATTACTAGGTATTTTGGGTAGTCGGAAGAGAGATTGTGTCCTTCAATACTCCTTCTGTTTCCAAAATATTTGCTGTATCTCAGCAGAAGCCAGGCTGACTCCCTTTCTCAATCTTCCTTTCAGAATTCATGTTTCAGACTACATTGAAGTCGATATGTTGGACAAATAATTTACTGGGCCAAGTTTTCCTCTTATTTACACTGATGCAACCCTATTGATTTCAGTGGAGTTGTACCACTGTACTCAACAACATAATTTGGTCTATTGTTTTTAAGAATAGAATGAATGGAACCTTTTCTCTTCACCCATCCTTTCTCTCTGGATGCAATCAGCCTGACTGAAGTCAATGGGAGTCAGTGGGTCCAGGATTTCACCCTCTGTGTTTCCGTTAAGTCAATCTAGCCCAGTGTACAGTGAATAGTTCTGAAACATTGTGCTGTTTCCTTAGACAGTCTTTTCTTGTCTACTAACAGACACAGATAGATTGAGGCATCTCCTCACCTGTTAAGTATAAAACACACTGGAGCTATATTTGTGGATTCTGGTCTCCACCTCCTGTCTGGCATTCTGAGCACTCACCCTGAAGTGGCATTAATGAATTAATTCAAGATGTTTGGGTATGTCTTCACTACCCACCGTATTGGCGGGTAGCAATCAATTTATCCGGGATCGATATATCACGTCTCGTTAAGACGCGATATATCGATCCCCGAACGCACTCACCGTCGACTCCGGAACTCCACCAGAGCGAACAGTGGTAGTGCAGTCTACGGGGGAGCCACGGCCGTCGATCCCGCGCCATGTGGATCCCAGGTAATTCGATCTTAGATACTTCGACTTCAGCTACGCTATTCGCGTAGCTGAAGTTGCGTATCTTAGATAGACCCCTCCCCCCCAGTGTAGACCAGCCCTAAGACTATTCACTCAAAATTATTCAGGCATTCTATAATATTTCCATGGAGATCTTATTGCAGAGTTCAGTATATTTGATGGGTTTTGTTAAAAAATGAACCCTCTGCAAGTAATATTTTCTAAGTCTGCCACTTCCACTAGGGTTGGGATCATACGTGCATGACATAATAACTGTGTAAAATCTTTCACTCAAGCAAAGCAAAACTGGAGGGATTTTTCCTTCTATATAATGTTTTGTTGTGAGTATTGGCCATAATTGAAAAATGTTTTTCACACTTTGGTACTATTTTTATGAACATTTTGCAAAACTTTGCTGATATGCTTACGAAATTCCACCATAATTGTCAGACACAATGGCAAAATAATGAAAAACATTTGTGAAATCGATTCAATTGGGTTTTGAAAATGTTTACACTGAAATTTTAGTCAAAGCACTAAACAAAAGTTTCACTCAGTCATGCATAAGAATATAAAATGATTAGTAGTAGTTCATTGATTTATAAATCAGATTTAAACTTTTGGCGTGGTGCTAGACAGTTGTACAATGCAAACCTAGTACCAACAATGTTAGAAAAAGCAGGGAAAAATCAATGTTGTCAAATCAACGACTGTTACATGGAAAGGAATTCTACCAGCATGGAATTGTACATGCCTGCTTTTCTGTCATTTGATCAAAGGTCATATTGCTCAATCATCCTGCCATCCTCTGAGAAGACTTGGGTTTTTTGGAAATACACCTCAGCCTTTCTGTATTTGCATTTCTGATTGACTCCCTGATGAACCAGAAAACAGGACACCACAAGCACTCTTCCCTTGCTTGCTGTGGGTTTGTTAGATTAGAATTAACAGAGTTTTCTGAGGATGCTTCTGTCCAGCTAATATCAGTAGAGGTCTACAGATTTATTATTATTGTTGTTGTTTTACATTTTTGACCCTAAAAGGATGTCAAAGCACCTTTCAAGTTAAATAGACATGCACAACACTATACATGGATCACTTCCGCTGCCCCTGAACCACAGCTGCCTCTTGGGGTGAAATGTGACTTTTTAACAGTCCCACGGTGTTATTGTTGTCATTTACATCAGTGTAAAACAGGTGTAAAATGGCACCAGACCAGAGTGAAAGCATTTTACATTTACTTGAACTTAATTTACACTGACATAAATGACTACATAGGGTGCAATGGAGCAATAGTGTCTGCTATAGGCAGGAGACATGGAATCAAGGGTTCTGATGTGGGGGAGAATCTAGTCTTTCATGTTCAGAATCATCAGCAGTGTAAAAAGGATACTGGAGAAAGGTAGGGCCTCCACCGATGGTCTAATGTTTCCAAGTGCCAACAAATATTTTTCCTTGGAAAGAAGCATGTGGGCCTAATTTGGCATCAACTTGCAACCAGGAAGCTCTTATTACTGAAGAAGTGTCACTGGTTCATCGTTTCACAGGTTATTTTTGGTTGGCACATATACCCTATGAATACTGGCATATAAAAGTGTGAATGGGCACAGTGCCACCATAACAGCTGGCTATGTGTCTAGTGGTGCGAGGGAACCAGAATCCAACAGGAGCTCTGAAGGTTTGAGTCCCATAGCGAGATTTCACATCACCTTCCCATAGCTTCCTCAGTTTGAATAAAGGGGAGCGGCTATTTATTTACACCAGCTGAGAGCTGGAATAAGTCACTAAATCTAAAATCATTTCCCCTGGTTGTGTAAAGAGAATCTGGGGCCCTGATGAATTCAGGTTAATTTACTGGCAGTGAGATGGGAAGTGCATAGCGATACAAAATCTCCAACCCAAGAAGCAGGCACTTTACAGATCTCAGCAAAATACAGAATACAGTTCGGCTGTTTCTTTGTACAATCGCTCTGCCACATCAGGGAACCAGATCTGTGACTATGGGTATCTGTGCCATGGAAGTCTATATATAGTTTCTGTTTGAACTGTCCCCTGGGAAGGCATTTCTTTTCAACTTCTCTTGAAAGCTAAAATCCTTTCCATTCTAAAGATCCCATAAACATTCTGTAGAGGATAAATGACAGCAGCAGCAGCACCTGCAATATTAGGCACTCCTTTCATCCCGAACTTTCCCCTTTCCCTAATAGTGAACTCCAGACAACAAGTGAGTCTTTCATGCTCCAGACTGATTTATCATTAACTATCAAACCTGTCTCTCTCTCCTGCAGAGACCGGATGAGAACATCAGTAAATGTTGTAGGAGATTCTTTTGGTGCTGGCATTGTGTATCACCTCTCCAAGGCAGAGCTGGAAAACCTGGATTCCCAGCATAAGGGGCATGAAGACATTGAAATGACCAAGACTCAGTCAATTTATGATGACATGAAAAATCATAGGGAAAACAACTCAAACCAATGTGTTTATGCAGCTCACAACTCTGTCATAGTAGATGAATGCAAGGTACCTTTCACATTTATGGATATTGAGACTTGTATATAGCAGTGCATGCTTTGTTTTACTTCATTTTTTAACCTGCATGTATTTTTTTTTAATTGTTTCATAAATGTGACAGTCTCTGTCAACTTCAGACATTTTAAGTAAGTTTAAGAAGTTACAAAGATTTTTTGCACTCTTCTTAAACATGGCATTTGAGGTGAAAAATCATACACAATGTTTACATATCAAAAACTTAGGGATTATGCAGCGTATTATGGAATATTCCAAGACACAGAGAGAATATGGCTATCTACCTAGTTTCCTTTGTTAACAGAGAGCTTATTGCTGCTCAAATGAAGGCTAGCTGTAAACCAAGTGCAGGTATTATTATTTGATGGCAGTCTTCCATGATACGCCATAAAGAGACACACGTGTTAAATGCACCATATCAGTGATCGTGCCAGCACTCATACAGCATGGGTATGCTTTTCTTTCATCATCATTCTTGGTAGTCATTGTAAAAATACAAACTTTGCAATTTCTATCTAATCTTCACTGTAACTAACCTGGATTTTAAAAAGAAAAAAATGTCTTGATTAGAGTGAAGCGAACTTCAGAAACCCCATCAGTTGAATGAAAAACTAGGTTGAGTGATTTGTGTATAAAGGTTTACTAGGCAAGCAGGACTAGGACATGCCTGATTAAAGTCAAAAGCCAATATTTAATTGAAAAGGAAAAAAATCAAAACCAAATTAAAACTTTTCATTTTATGGCCAATTTTTACTTTAGGTGCTTCTCCTGTTCCTCCCACCTGATTATATAGCAAGTGACCTTTTCCATATTTTATCAAAACATGTCTAGATTGGCTAGTGAGTCAACCACACCCAGATATTTGTCCACAGAGAGAAAGAGAAAGCTTGTGGATTCTCTGACACCTTTAAATCTCCACAACAGACTTAGAATGGACATGAGTCCCATCTCTAAAATCCAGTTGCTAAGTTATCGTAGACAATGGAGATGGAAAAGATTTATGATGTCATTTTCCCCACCCCTAAGCCAAAGATCATTCTTCACAGTACATTTTTTCAGAGGTTTGCCCTATCGAGGGTCAAATGACTTGTTTGAAAAATGGTATTTTCCCTTAAAGTTTTGAATTAACCAAAGCTTTCATTTTGTTTGACATTTTTTTTCATGGAATTTTTCAGTTTTTTGGTGAAGTTAAGATGAATGAAACTTTTCATTTTTAATGAAAAAATCATTTTGTTTTGGTTTTCAATTTTGGGGGATATTTCCCCCCTTTCTCTTCTCTTCCCCTCTTCCCTTTCATTCCACTGGAAAATCAAGAAGAAAGGGGAGAAAAGTAAAAATGTGAATATTGAAACAAAATGAATTTTTTATACATTTTGTTGTTGTTGTTTTTTCTTTTGAAAGGAAAAGAATTGTCTGACAATATCTGTTTCTTTTTAAAAGACATTTTTCATGAAAGAAAATCAACATTTTTTTTACCAGTTCTAGATTTGATTGATGGGGTTTTTATCACTTCCTTTGAAAAACCATTTCATAGTCTGATAAAACTGTTCCTCTTCCTAAAGAGGTGGAAAGAACCAATTACCTTTGATGTTAGGATCAGTCCTGGGGTTTTTGGCCAAACAATTACTGGCTGATTTTATTGGATTTCGTGCTACCAGGAAGCACCTGAAGATACACTAATGTGGGCTTCAGTCTTACTGTGACGCACTCTGGGCTTGATTTTAAAAGGAGTTCAGAACTTGCACCACTTCAGGACTTTTCAGGACCAGTCCCCCTTTCATTTAAAAGATACCAACAAGCCATAAATTATTGGCTGTGTCATAATCACTAAAATTGTCCCAAACACAGTGGGATTTTGAGGTTTATGTCATCACTTGCAAGTGATGCTCTAGTGACACTGCTACCAGGAACTTTTTAAGGTGGTATTTTTGCTGGACAGATCCACAGAGAAACTGGATTGTGTTACAAAGGTTCCTAATTACAGGAACTCACAGAACCCAGGGAAACAGAACTTCCCTAATTTGGGATTGCCTCACTTTCATAATGGTGAAGCTTGCTCCTTCCCCCTTCTTGCACTCTACCAGTGCTGAGCTAGACAGGTTTTCCCCTCTGCTAATTTTCATTCCTCCCCCCCCCCCCCCCCG